TAAAATTTAAAAATTTTCTTAAGTAAACTTATTTATTATATTAATAAAAATATATAATATATATAAAGTTTATAATAAATTTTTTATTTATAAATAAAAATAAAAATAAATTTTTTTTTCAAAAGCGAGTGTGTGTTAATAATACGCATTGAAACAGTATATTACATAATATTGCAGAGCACATGATATAGGTTAAATAATTGCCGGAATGTTTTCGAAAGATCAAATTTCGGATGCGATCAAATTTATTAGGAAAAGCTTTAAATCGATTACTCATCATGGGTGATTATTCTTGTAAACAAAATTTAAAAACAATGACTTCATCAATAAATAGGAACGGCAAAAAATCATATCCGAGTATTTTGAGCCGTGATAAAAGCCATAACACTGACATAGAAGATTACGAATCGCAAAATACTGGTCTAAAGGATAATGTGAAAACGAATTCTCCATGGATTGAGGTTCATAAGATTGCCGTTCAGGTGATTATAAAATTGCATGTTTATTACATATGCATTTCACGGATCTAATTCTTAAATAAAAAATTTGACCGAAAAATAGAACAATGAAAAAACCTATATAGATCCAGAAACTTCACTGGTAGTAATGACAGAGTTGTTTCACAAAGAAAGAGGTTATTGCTGCGGAAATAATTGTAGACATTGTCCTTATGATCATGTAAACGTTGGTAAAAAGTTGAGCTGATCAAAAAAACCATAAAATTAAGGAAACAGGAACATTGAAAGTCCGAAAAACTTGTAACTTCGTGTGACCTAAATGGGACAATCTTGATCGATCGCGTGTATGCTGTATATGTATATATATAATATATGCGTCGTACGTGCGTATATATCCGTCTTTCTTCATTGACATAAATGAATCAAAAATCGGAAAAGAATAATGATGATAGTGGTTGCGGTCTTTCTGAAAACCTAAGGAAGATATTCAAAAGTCTTCTTAAAAAATCTAAACATAATACACAGAACGAAAAGTTTGTGGTATGTTAGATACTTCCTTTTTCAAGGTTCTCGGTAGAAACGCTTTCCTTTAATCAATATTATACCTTAAAATTTAATATAATAGCTTCTTAACTCAAACAAAGATCAGACATTTGAAATATATGGCACCCATGAGGCTTACGATCTGAATGCTGAAGAAAAATCATATTATGGACTCTCTGACATTGAGGAGGTTGCTCTTAAAGCTATTGATGACATTTCAGACGAACTCAGAGAAATAAGTCTAGAAGTAAGAAAGATTTCTCAGTTCGTCTAATTATTTTTATTTGAATAACAATTAATGGCTAGGTTTTATGAAACACATCCAGATACATGATCGACCAGAACTTGGAAACAAAGAGAAACACGCACACGATCTCATTGTGAAGTATATGAAGGAAAAAGGTTTCACCGTAACACCAAATGCGTATGGACTTGATACTGCTTTTGTAGCGGAGTTCAGTTCGGAATCTGGGAAAGGCCGTGTCGTTTCGTTTAATTCGGAGTATGTATTAACAATATATGGGTTTGTTCGATCACATGATCGATACATAGAACCCCACTACATATATGGTCAAATTATTAATCATAATACTTATGCATATAAACAGATATGACGCTCTTCCTGGGATTGGGCATGCTTGTGGACATAGTGATTATTTTTTTTTTTGCCAATTGATCATTATAGATTTAATAAATTCAAATTATTTACATATATTTCTGAATTTTAGATTTAATAGCAATTAGTGGGATAGGTAAGAAAGTTAGTGGAATCATTGGCTATTTCAATTTTGTTCATGTCTTAAATCAATATAGGAGCCGCTATAGGTCTTAAGGCTGTACTCGAGAAGTTCGAAATAGATGGTACAGTGAAATTATATGGCACACCTGCCGAGGGTAATTTATTTCGAATTTTTTTAATTTTTTTATTTATATGATGTATATCGTTACTCAATTCTTTTACTATTTTAAGAAACCAGTTCTGGAAAGATTAGTTTGATTGAGGCAGGCGCGTATGAAGATGTCGATGTTTCTTTGATGGTTCATCCAAGGCATGTTTAAAGTTATGTATTTTATATAATTATTTATTGAATATAATAATAACATGATATAAAATTAAAATAATTTAATAGCTCGGTGAATGGTGCATTTATTAAATTTTTAGCAGTGCAATCTGTAAAAGTTGAATATTTTGGGAAGTCGGCTCATGCGTCGGGTACTTAAATAAAATCTGTTAGTTTGTGATTAGATTCAATTATTTAATTTCAGGTTGGTCTTTAGGTGCTCCTTGGGAAGGTAATATCATGAATAAAATTTGTGTTTTTTTTTTGTCGTGCTATGACTTTTCTTACTCTTCCTTATTTAACGTAAAATAGGAATTAATGCCCTAGATGCCATTATACTGGCTTACAATAATATTGGACTGTTGAGACAGCAAATATTACCTACAAATAGGTATTACGCATTTAATACGAATTGCGTGTTTTGCCTTCAATTATCTGATGACTTTAATTATTTATAGAATTCATGGAATAATTACTAATGGAGGTAAGGGCTATCTAAATTATCTATTAATTGGTATAATTACTCAACATTTACGATTCATGTTCATATATTGGTTAGGAGAAGCACCTAATAGTAAATATTCAGTTATTTAATGTTATTAAATAGTGTAAAAATTTTATGTAACTAACCATTTTAATTTAATTTAGTAATTCCTGATTATACATCCGCTCTGTTCTCTATTCGTGGGATAACTATTGAGGATTTACGTGCTCTTAGGCCACGTGTTGAAAAATGTTTTGAAGCTGCATCAGAAGCAACCGGCGCAAAGTTAAATTTGACTTGGGGTCGAGAAGTCTACGGTAAACTTCTTTATTTATTACCTTATTATGTTTGTTTATTGCTAACATTGAGACTATTGCAGATGTAAAAGTTAACAATCCAATCGCCAAACGTTATGAAAAATATTTAACCACGAAATTCAATCTTGAATTTCCGTCAAAAGAAGAGCAATTGTTAATTCCATCTGGATCAACAGATCAGGGAAATGTGACGTACACTGTTCCCGGATTTCATCCATTTTATAATATCCATCCACCACCAGGTGAAAGTAATCACACTCCAGGATTTACAAAACAAGCTAGAACTGAATTAGCACACACTGAAACCTTAAAAGCAACAAAGGGCATAACTTTAGTTGGTTTGGATATTTTAGTAGATGATGAATTCGCTAGAAAAGTTAAAAAATCTTTTTCATCATAATATCACACTTGATTCACATAGTTTAAAGCAGTATTGGAAGCATGAATATTTTTTATAAATGTGTATTTTATATTTATAATTATTAATTATCAATTAACTTTTCTGATTTTAAGTAACAAATCCAAAATAATTTATATAATGATTTATAGTTATATTTTTAATATGCTTTAAAAAACAATATTAGATTCTCTTTATAGAGATTCTGATTAATTGAGCCGAGTTGATTATAAATTTAGAATTTTATATTAAATTTATTATATAGATTAGCAAGTAGGCTTTGGTTATATGCATGCACTGGATTTAATTATTTTAGCTTTATTTTTTG